CATACTTAATTTTTGATGCTCAATCTGAATAAATTAGTTTCAAAAATTTACAGTGATAACAAAGGAGTAAAATCTTAAGTTTTCTCAAAAAGGGTCAAAAGTGCTGTTTTTCATAGTTCTTCGTATTTTGAAGATTTCTTCCCCAAAAGTTGATGGAACTTAAATTTCAAGGACAGATTTGGAATCTAGTCGTCGAGCTGTATCTGACCATGTGTGTTTTAAGGAAATCTACTTTTGTATGCCCTTTTCGAATTTCCGGCACTTTATTATAAGAGCAATAATTTAAAAACGAAGGTGTATTTGAATTGTATTATTTGAATTTTTAAATTCTATTTATTGACGTTTCGACACAATAGTTTTCATTTTCAAGGAAACATATACAAAAGAGAGATGATTATTGTGAAATAAAATGACTATTTGGCTGGAAACGTTTATTTTAAACTTGAATACTGAGATAAGAAGTTTACTTTATTACAGACGTAACTATGTTGAGATCGAGGAAAATGATTTATTTCAACGAATGAAATAGTAAAAAATAGAGAAGCGTTGTCAAGGCTGAGAGAACGTAGAAGAAAAAAGACTTGTTGTTACAAACGCGTGAAAATCTGCGTTAAATTAAGATTTCTACCTTTATATATATATTTGGCCTGAAGAAAAGTAAAGGAAGAAAACTTTCACAGTTAGAGAAAAAATCCTGTTATATTCCATCTTCGAAACCAAAAACAAAGGAAAAGAAAATTAACAGATAAAAGGTTTTGTATCGATCTTGCATTTTTAGATCTTATTTCTATTATTATTATCATCTCTATCGTAAGCAACGATAATAATGGGTAACAGAAATTTTGTAATACCAGTAGTGCCGTTTCTACAATCGAACCACAGCAGATCACCCGAGCAGAAATCTGACAATAGTCGACAACGGGAACAAAATTCGACAACAACTACTATTGAACTACCAAAAAATAACAGAGGAAGTGGTAGAAATGACGATAGGTATGCTGATCGAGAACGAAGTACAACTGAAAAACTTTACGATTATTTAGAGGAGGTAAGTTACGGTCTGCTATCAATATTTATTTCAGTCGACTCAGTCGTTATTATTCATTTTATTTAAATAGATCGCTTGCCATTGGGATGACAATGATTATGAGGAAAAATGGAATGAAGTAGAGAAGCAAATTGAAGATATATTTGAACAAGATGTGTCGTATCATTGCTGTGGTCATCGTAGAAGGACAATGAAAACATTGATTGTAAAACTAAATGAAGAATTATATTCACCACTACATAATTGTGTTCTTAAACAAAATACAGTTGTTTTACAAAAGTTTATAGAAAACTATCATTGTGGTAAGATTTTTGT